AAAAAAAAAAAAAAAAAAAAAAAAACAGATGGGTATTCTCAAATATCCTCCAAAATTGTCTCACTTGGTGTCTGGCTTTTTATTCATTAATATTAGGTTTTTTTTTATTATCAAATTGGATTATTCATTAAATTGGATTATTATTAAAGTGGATTATTATTAAATTAGATTATTATCAAAAAGGAATATTATTCATCACTATGTTTTATATTAGGATTATTTTCATGAAACATAATTATCATCATTTATAGTAGGATTATTTATATTAGGATTATTATCAAAAAGGAATATTATTCATCATTTATATTAGGATTATTTTTTTATCAAATTGGATTATTATTCATTAATATTAGGTTTTATTATTCCATATTATTTTTTTAATTACTTAAATTTTTACAATCATTTTCTTTACTTCATATTTAATTCTTCTGTAGAATAACTTTATTATTTAGGTTCTCTTAAATAACTTTATTATTTAATTCTTTTGTCTAATTTTCATGAAAAATAAATGTAGGTACATTTACGATGTCCAGTGGAGCTACTAAACGTGATCCAGCTTGGGAACATGGATACCCAATAGACGGAAACAAACATGGCACAATTTGCAAATATTGTGGTTGGGTAATGAAGAGTGGCGGAGTGACACGACTTAAGTACCATCTTAGTGGATTAGATCCAGCAAAAAATGTCCAATGATGCGATAATGTCCCCCCAGAAGTGAAGGCATTCATCAGCACATTGTTAAAAAATAAAAAACAGCAGAAGGAAAAGATAACACAGGGAATGGAAAATATTCGAGCTGGGCTACGGGGAGAAGTCTATGGCCAAGAGCTTGACAGTGATGATGATGACAATGAGGACGAATGTGATGATGACATGGGACCTGAAGAACGACGCAGTTTGAAACAAGCATTACGTGCCTCCAAACAGTCAGCATGGGAAAGAGAACACCTTCATAAAATTCCTAACAGAGCACAAGGTTCCGGGACAAGTGGTGGTGCACAAATGAGACGGGAAGGTAGTCTTAGAGAATCACAACCAACACCACCAATAGCCCCAAGTTTATATAAGTCATCCAAAGCACGTCAAAAGAGTGTTTGGAGTTATTTCACTGGAGGTAATGTGAAGGAGGGAATGGGGCATCTAATTAGCAAGTTCTTTATCTATGAAAATGTCCCTGCTGCGAAGGCATCATCACATCATTTCAAAAATATGGTAGTGGGATGTCAACAGGCCGGTGTTGGAGTACAACCTCCCACTCCTTATGAGATAAGAAACAAATATTTGGATATGGAGTATAAAGACATTGGCGAGTATGTTAACAAGTTGAGGTCAAAGTGGGAAACTAATGGTTGCACAATCATGTGTGACGGATGGACCGGCCCGACCAGATTGTCTATCATCAACTTCATGGTATACTCTAAGGGAAAGACAATTTTTTTGAAGTCTGTTGATGCTTCAGACCATATAAAGAATTACAAGTATATTTACAAGTATATTTACAAATTATTGAGGGATGTAATCATGGAGATGGGAGAGCATAATGTTGTCCAAGTCGTGACCGACAACGGTTCTGCATTTGTCAAAGCTGGAAAAAAGTTAATGAAGCATCATAATGTGTTTTGGACATCATGTGCAGCACATTGTATTGATCTCATGTTTGAGGCAATGGGGAAGAGAGAGAATGTTGCTACTGTGGTCAAAAGAGCTAGAACGATCACAAATTATATTTACAATCATGGTTGGTTGTTGGCAAAGATGCGTGAATTTTGCAAAGGAGAAATTATTCGTCCAGCTACCACTCGATTCGCCACCAACTATATTGCATTAGACAGCCTACTCAAGAAGAAAGCAGGGTTGAAGAAACTATTCACTAGTGACGATTGGGCCAACCACAATTTGAGCCGCTCAAATACAGGTCGTATGGTGGAAAGTATAGTGCTTGATCATGCTTTTTGGACTCAATCAGAACATGTGTGTCAACTGTTTGAACCTCTTTACAAAGTTTTACGGATCGTTGACACAGAAGTGTATCCTACTATGGGGGGCAGTATATGAGTTGATGCGTGTAGTGAAGGATGAATTGGAAAGAAAACATGGTGCAAGGTGGGTCATAAAGATAATTGAAGACCGATGGTATAAAACATTATACCACGATTTGCATGCAGCAGGTATAAATTATGTCATAATTTGCAATTCATTTCTTTAGTTGCATAAGTATTATTTCTCTTATTAGAGTATGTGTTTCTTTGAACAGCATATTATTTGAATCCCCGATACCAATACAGACCCGGTGTTGGAGATGATGGTAACCTTATACGTGCTGTACATAATGTATACTCTAAATTAGACCCTGCATCACCAGCAGTTGGCCAATTTGGAAATGAGGTACACAATTACTTAAATTATAATAATTACTTTGTTGGATTAAACTAACACAATTTATTGTATTCAGCTAACATGGTTTAAAGATGCAAGAAGAACTTTTGGAGAACCAACATCAGTTGCTGCTCGAACAAATATGTCTCCTAGTGAGTATAAACATATTTCACTATAAGTTTATAATAGAATTTGTTGGAGTTATTAGGCTTATCAACATTATTTTTCATTGTAACTGAATGGTGGATCATGTATGGGACCGATGCACCAACTGTGAGAAAGTTAGCAATAAAAGTATTATCACAAACAACTTCCTCATCTGCTTGTGAAAGAAATTGGAGCACATTTGCACTCATACACACAAAGCAAAGAAATAAGTTGGCTCATAGTAGCTTGGAAAAATTAGTTTATTGCTACTACAACATGAAGCTTCAAATTCGAGATAAGGAAGCAGAAATCGATCATGTCGACCGTGGTGACCCACTAGATGTGTTTGATATTGTTGGTGAAGATGATGATACGGAGGGTAACCAACTTTTTCAATGGATTAGACCTCTTCATTTAGATGATGATGAAGGCAACCCAGCTCCCAGAGTTGCTGAAGAAGCATGTAATGAATGGATAAACGTAGAAAGAGTATTAGAGGAGGAGGTGGGATCTAGCAGCTCTGACTCTTTGGAAGAACTTTTGCGCCCAAGACCAAGAAACACTGGAATTCCACCTTCTTCCAATCCTACACAACCACAACATCGTGCTGATACTAATGATAGCTCTAGTACAAGATCAAGAGACTCACCTACCACCAGAGGTGGGAATGATGAAGGACATAGTGGAGCTGGAGGTAGTGGTGGTGGATATGGAAACTATTATGGACCACCACCTCCCGGATATATGAGCCCCTTCACTGGTGAGGCAAACTTCACGCATGCAACACAGGATGATGACCATGGCAGTAGGCGGGCAGGACCAGGAATTGGTGCCATAGGGAAGGACTATACTCGCAGAGAAAGAGGCAAGGGGATTTTGTCAAGTCAAGAAGATGACTCGTTATCTAGAACTTCAGACTCTGTTGGATTGGGAAGTAGTAACTATGGTTATACTCATAACCAACCATTTCCCTACCCTTCATATCCCATTCCTGTTGGGATGGAATCGAGCGACTCATGGAAACAATCCCAGACTCAATCTTCAAATGATTTTTCTTATGGACAACCTCAACCAATCTCGGATCCATATGGGTGGCATATTAACAATTACATGCAAAACTATTTTGGGGATTTATCATTTGATAACTACTCTTCACAATACACTCATTCTACACATAGAGATGATGAAGATAGTGAAAAATTTGAACCTCATAGGAACTCTATGTGGTACTAAAGTGTAAAATATTGTACTAATTCATTATATATAAATGATTATGGTGTGTTTAGACTTCTTTCATTAATTACTACATATTTTCTACACTCACAATGTTTGTCAGATCGTTATATAATCAACTTGATAATGTTAAATCCATCATGCAATGCATTTCCTTCCAATTTTTTTGTGATAAACTAATAGATAATTGACTAAATAAACATCCTGCAAAGTTTCAATAAAAATTTCCAAGTTTTTCTTACAATTTCCGTGGTTTCCATGTAATTTTTATCGATATCGATATTATCCCGATATTTCCATCGATATTTCCGTGTTTTCAGACTACCGATATGTCCGATATTACCGATATTTTCTTCCTTGCCCAGGATTCATCAAAAAAAAAAATATATTTTTTCCCTATAAATCGTACCTTTCTCTCTCATGCAGCCATCATCAGTTTCCCTTCGTTTTCTCTCTGCATCACTCTCATGCAAACTTATAACTTGAGTCACAAGTAATTATCCATTACACACTACAAGGCTGTCAACCATAAGGTACCCAAAAATCTCAACCAAAGTCCCAAAGCACTCCAATGTGTTGCCCAAAAATATAGGACACTACACCCAAAATTCAAATGCAGTGCAAATTTTAGGTTCACAACGAATAATTACCTTTTCAAAATACATTGCATTGAAAGAGAACACATGAAATTAAAAATACCTAAAATGCATTGCCAATTTTAAACCATTAAAATTACATTACATTGGGAAAAAAAAAACACATGAAATCGAAAATACCTAAATTGCAATGCCAATTTTAGGTTCACAACAAATAATTACCATTCAAATTACATTACATCGAAAGAAAAAAAACACATGGAATTGAAAATACCTAAAATGCAGTGCTAATTTTAGATTCACAACGAATAATTACCATTCAAATTACATTACATTGAAAAAAACACATGAAATCGAAAATAATCGTATTAGTTCATATGTTTATGTGTTGTGTTATTAGGATACAATGTGCAAAACTTGCTCAAACTCAAAGTAGCTTGCAAGTTCGGTTGACAGAGCGCAAGTTGTTGAAATTCTACATTGGTCTTATCTCTGAGAAATGAAGAGTTTAAATATCGTAACCCTAGTCCAACTAATACAAGCTTTGCCTAAAAAATATATAGCACATGCACATTCTGCGCAGCCTAACCAACAAAACTAGTCGAATAATTTGGCCAAATGGTGTTGCTTAAAACTTTTGCTTGATGACTTTGTTCAGACCAAACACTGCCTATGCAGTATGGGCTAAATCCAATCGAATCCACTTTCTGCGCAGCGTAACCAACAAAAGTAGGCCGGCTTGACAGCAAACGCCACAGATTAAACCGAGCCACAAGCCCTGTGCCGAATCAAGCACAAAATGGGAAATGAATTAGATTATATAAACAAAGCCAATCGACTATTAGCCCCCTGCTTGTTCCACTTTCTGTATTCAGCATAGGAATTGGGTAATCTCAACTGATATGAGTGTGTACAAGTATTTGGGTGTGCAAAAACACCTGCAATTGTCATCCTGATCAAATAGAACGTGCTCAAGTTTACGTACACATCCAAGTGCAGCCACCCCACATCCTCTGGCCACACCTAAAATACCAAAAGTCATTTCAAAGATGCTCTGCAGAATAGTAGATTAAATAGCCCCCATGGAAAAACTAGATGATCCCAACTTGATAAGACACCTTGGACGGAATCTGCAAGTACTGATATGGCAAGAAACGGTGTCATATAAGCAAATAGCTTGATTATTGCACGGCTGTCGCTGAAAAGGCCAGCCCATAAATTGTGACCAACTGCTAGAGCCAGATCAACGAGGAAAGCAAGAAGCACGGAGAGCTTAAGAGTCACCACCATTGCTTTCTTCGCTTTCTCCGGATTGCCTGCTCCCAGTTCATTAGACACCCTTGTGCTAACCAGAACAGTAATACTTGTTTCAGATGGTGAAACAGAATGCAGGTGCTGAAAAACTTGGAGGGATAAGAATAACCCGGGATTTATTGTTCTACCAGCCTTGCAGCAGCGCTCAGGCCATATGTAATCATGTATGCAATTGCCTCTGTATTCACACTGGAGCGATTATTAAGAAAAAGGCTACTTGAGTTAGTTCAAAATCAAGTGTTTAAAACCGAAAGCTTACCACATTGCAATCAGGGAAGTGATTTGTTTCGCATTTGGCATCACTCCCGCCAAGAACACTAGAATCTCAAAAGCCCAGTACTCCAAACTGAAAGATAAAAAGGTGAATACTTTAGTACTGAAATTTCAAAGGCTCAGGCTTTATGAGCTTCAATAAATTTTGCTTACTGATCTAAGCCGGAAATCAGTCTTTCCTGTAGTTAAACATACAAAAACAAGTAAAACCAAAATTGAAGAACACTTACCATACCATTGCTGCGAATGGGAGGGCAAGCTTCAAGTCCATGAGGACATAATGAAATGATTCAAATGAAAATCCTTCCCACGTACGCTCAAACTTTTTCGCACGCTTAACATATGTGGCCAACATAAGCATTGATATCCATATCGAAATTGAAGCTGCTAGCGGAGCTCCCCTGAAACCAAGAGTTGTCCAGTGTACCAAACCATATGCAACAAGAACATGAAGAGCCAAAGGAATCACTGAGAAAAAGACCAACGGCATGACAACCGATTGTGTTTGAAGAAATCTCAAAATATTATGAAGGAAGTCATAGGCAAATAGTCCTGGAATCAGAAATTTGATATAGAGAGCAGCATATTTGGAAATTTGAGGATCTTGATGAAGTAAGATGAATATGAGCTCCGTAAACCACCAGATTATAGATATGATGATAGGGACCGCGAAAGAAATGATGGAAGACGCTTGTAGATAAATCCCTAACATTCTGTATAACTTTGCACCAAACCCCTGGCCACACAGCGTCTCAAGAGCTCCAATTAAACCAACCTAAACCAAGAAATAATTAGACAAAAGAACAACTCAAAGAAAAGGCATGTATTCTTATTAAATTTCATGTCATCTCGATTACAATTCTGAACATATAGTTTCAAATTTCCCAGCTACTATAATGTTAAAACATAAGGACAAGGTAAATGTACGTCCAAATGCAGATTATCATCTCCTCCTGAGGACAGACTGCTTGCTAGAGACACAATTCTTGTACATGGCTTCACAATATGCAACTTGAATCAACATCGTTTTAAAAGCAAGAGAAGCAATTCGGGGAATCAAAATTAAGTAATACAAAGTCCTGAGAACAGTAATGAAATATATTTCTTGGCGGAACTGAATCTCAATACGAAAACATGTGACAACAAATTGATAAAGGGAGTAGATATGAAGTTCATGCACTTTCATTACAACCAAATTGAGCTACTACTTGGGTTTTCGATTAGGTTGCCAAAGCTCTTACCAACTAATACCAAGAGCAGATCTAAGTCTTGTAGGAGTGTTTGGATTAAAAGTTGACTTTGGGCTCAAGAAAGGAGTTGGCCCAAAAGGAGGCCCGAAAGGGAAGATAGCCGAAGCCCAGTCGAAGCCCAGAAGGCAGGGAAAGGCCTTTTCTGACCTGGTGCAGCTCATGAAGACCACTTGCTTACCTACCCAAAGGCCAAGTGGTGTAGACTGATCAGCTACACAGCCCATAAAGCACTTTATGGTGGCATTACATGTAAAATAGCTGATGAGTCATCACCCTCAAACCGCATTCGGGCAAAGCTGCTGCTACCAAAGGCCAAGCCGAGTTGTCTATATAAGAAGAAAGAAAATCCAGGATTAAGGACACTCAATCAAACAAACAAATGCAAGCACAAACTCTGCTCAAACCAGATTTGCCTTCAAAACAAAGCTGTAGTCAGCCTTCATCCCTTTCGGGACAAACCTTCATCCCTCTCGGGATAACCCTCTCTTCAACCCTTTGTAATAGCTCTGCTACCTTGTTCAACCTTGCTGTAGTATCGATTCATTTTTTGTAATCTCTCTCTCTCTACCCCTCTAAGCTTTCAGACCTTTGACAAAACTATAAAGATAGGAACCTGCAAGACGAGCAACCTTACCCGATAAGGTTTAACCTTGCCCGACCTTCTTTGCTTTGGTTTTGTCTTTTCAATATGTTGTATACTTCCAGTTATATGCAAGTTATTTCTATCAACATGACTATTAAAAGGCTTTCTCAGTACTTGAATCCGATTTGAATATATCGTCAGTGTTCAAACCAGATCCAAGTCCTAAGCCCTCGGGCATGTAAATCTGATCAGTTAAAAGTCCTTGGCCTCAAGGCATAAAAAAGAACCTTATGTGGACTTAACCCATCCACGACAGTCCTTGATAAACGAGAAGTCCGAAGTTACTTAGGGCGCAAGTAATCAACCTACCTTCTAGTTTTCTTTCTATTATATCATGATTACCATAGAACGCTTGAGCATGGAATGGATTCTAATGGAAAGCCTCAAGGCCTACACCTAAGGCCCCACAAAGGCATCCATTTAGATTCATTCCGTTCAGCGATCTAAAAAGTCTAAGTATAAGAATGAACTTTGATGGGAAGCCTCAAGGCCTACACCTAAGGCCCCACAAAGGCACCTATTTGGGTTCATTCTACTTCTTGGATTCGGGTAATCAGAAGTATAATAGTTAGAAAACTCCTACAATCACGAGAACAAATATGATGTGTTCGAGCACTGGTTTAGTTATTTATGGTAAGCCTCAAGGCCTACACCTAAGGCCCCACAAATGCACCTGTTATAACTAACACGGTTTCTTGGATACATACATATATACAACTAAAGCACGACAACCATTTTACATTTGCCATGCTAAAGATGGCAGTGGCACGCCTGAGCACTTAAATGTTAACCTTGATTGTGAGCCTCAAGGCCTACACCTAAGGCCCCACAAAGGCACCTCTCAAAGTTAACGATGTCCTTCTCTTTCAGCCTTGCCCGAAGAGTCTTGCCCAAAGAGTCTTGCCCGACAAGACTTGCCCGACAACGCCCGACAGCGAAGCAGAAGCCCGACAGCAGCCCTCAATCGGCGCCAACCTCCAGGGGAGCTGTGTGCTCGTCGGCCAGGAAACATTCCCGACGGAAATTCCTGACGCGAACAAGGAGTACTATTCATTTGTCTTTTTGAAGCATACATACTAGACAGGCAACTATACAGACGCAAATATATGTATGGTGTAAATATTTTTAGTTCAGCAACTATAAAAGTTTTCATGGTGGCTAAGGTTTTGGGGAGAGAATCAAGGAGGGGGAAGCCATTTTGGATTTTGCTACACATACGATCTCTATCTAGCCATTACTTTCTTCAAGAAAAGAGAAGCATGTGATCACTTACAAGAATGGGTCATCAAAGACAAAAATGGATTCTTTTTACTAAGGAAGGGGAATTGTATAACTTGCAAGAATTGCAAATTTATACCGTGGGAGAGCTTGCTAACCAACGCTGACTGTTGGTAATGGATGTACAATAAAAAAAGATAAAAGGAAGAACAAGAACTTGAAGTGTCCAAGAACTAGATGGTGAAATCTAAAAGGAAAAACAAGTCACTTTCATAGAGAAAGTACTCACCCAATCCGTTTGGGAAATAGAGGGGAATGCTAGCCAAATGTGAGATTCCATGACTAGTTGTATTCGAATAGTTGTAAAAGGGGTATTACAAGAGCCTAAGGGTTTTGCTCCACATAGAAAGGAATCTTGGTGGTGGAAGGAGGAGGTACAAAAAAAGGTTAAGGCTGAGAAGGAATGTTGTAAAGCCTTACACAAGAACAAAACTAATGAAAATTGTGAGAGGTAAGATAACAAAGAAGAAGGCAAGGAAATTTGAGAGAAAAGCTAAGCTAGTGGCTTTTGACGACATGTATAAGCGATTATATACCAAAGAAGGAGAGTTGGATATCTATAAACTGGCTAGAGCAAGGAAAAGGAAGACAAGAGATTTGAACCAAGTAAGGTGCATCAAGGATGAGAATGAAAATGTTCTAGCTATGAGAACACGGTTAAAGACAAATGGAGAGTTTATGTTTATAATCTCTTCAATGAAAAGCACGAAAGGAGTGCGTTGAATAACTTGGAAGATTGTAGAAATTATTATTTCTGCCATCAAATCAAGAAAGAGGAAGTGGATGTAGCATTGAAAAAGATGAAGCATAAAGCATAGAAAAGCAATGGGTCCCGAAAATATACTGTCTATGTGTTGAAGGTCTTGGGAGAGATGGGTATAGCATGAATCACAAACCTTTTCAATAAGATTTTGACAACAAAGAAGATGTCAACAAAAACGTATTTTGGTGCCTATCTAGAGGAATAAGGGCGACGTACAAAATTGCATGAGCTATAAGGGTATTAAGTTAATGAGTTATACCATGAAGCTTTAGGAGAGAGTAATTGAGCATAGACTAAGACAAGAGACACATGACACAGAGAATCAATTTGGGATCATGCCAAGGCACTTGACTATAGAGGCTGTTTGTACCATACTTAGGGCCTCCGTATTTAGATCTTGTATAAATACTCGGAGGACTCAAATGTAATTATGTAATAAAGGTAGGGGCAAATATGTAATAAGTGAGGAACCCTTATTCTATAAAAGGACCCCTCACTCTCCTCATTAGGGGAGGCCAATTCTTAGGCCATACCCTCACCTTCTCGGAGCTTTCATTCTCATAGAGAAGCTCTTTCTCTCCCTCTTCAACATCTCAGAGAAATATAATAATCAATGTGGACATAGCCCAAACATTGGGGTAAACCACGATACATCTTGTGTTATTTACTTTCTTGCAGATTCACGGTCGGATTTACGTTGTTCCAAGACCTCCGGTTTTGTGCATCAACATTTGGCGCCGTCTGTGGGAATCGACACAAAAAACTATGTCGGTTCTCTTTCATTTTTTTCATCTCACCACCGTGAGACCTCACCACACTCCACCTTGAATCTGCAAAAACACCTAAACTCAACCACAGTTTCTTCTCTCTCCTCACCAACCCATCTCAGATCCTTCGGTCCTTCCAGAAAGATTAGCTTGAGCAGCATCAAGTGTGGTGCAGTTGCAGACACCGAACCGCATCTCCTACCACTTAACGGAGATCAGACGTGAAGTCGTTATTCACCATGTGGATGTACCGCGTCTGCACCGCGGCATACGTTGCACCAGCGCCACACCAAAGTTAAACGATATCGTCACCAGCATCTTGGCTCATTCGTTCTAGAGTTATGGCTTTCATTGACCAATGTTGTATCTATATTTGAAACCGCCATCTTCCCCAACTCCATCGAAGCCCTAAGATCGACACTGTGACTTGTCTTGCTCAGAAGTGGTGCCTCCGGTGGGCGAAGCATAAATTTTCACAAGTTTTGCCGATCATTAGTTCTATATTCATCATATCGAGGAGAGGTTATTGATAGATGACTGGCGTTCGGAATCGAGTTATGAAATTCGTCAAGCGCAGAACGAGAAGGGGTAGTGGTCGATCCAGATTTTGTGAGCGCTAAAGAGGGAGATGTCGTCGCCGTCCGACTCGCCGCGCTCTGCCTCAAACTCGCTCACCTTCTCCAGTTCTCTCCAGCCGCCGAGGCTTGAGCAACGTTCGCCATTCTCTTTCGCAAGCAGTTCGGTCTCGCCTCCTGACACCTAAACCTTCCTTGAACCATCCACACTCCTTCCCAATTCGATTTCCCTGCACTAACTGAGTTTTTCAGCAGAGAAAATGAGTTCAGTCATTGCTAGATTTGTCAAGTTTATGAGGGTCTCCGTTCCTTCCTCGCCTACCTCCTCATAAGAAGCAGAAGCTAGACTCGAACAGCAGAGAGCTGCTGACGTGGGCTCTGGTCCAGATGGGTCAGCCTGGTGACTGTGTGGTTGCCCTCTATGTGCTCAGTGGATCTCAAGCTCAAAATATGCAGAGGAACATCAATCAAGAAAAACCAATTATGAAAGTAGAGATCTGGAAATGGACTGTGTGAGGGGAAAGTGGTTAACTGAAAAATTAAAGAAAGCAGAAGGAGAAAGTTGTGCTTGCGGTTTCATGGACGTGAGAAAGCAAAAGGATAATGCCATGTGAAATTATTTTCTGAGAAAGTGAAAAGAGAACGACAAAAGAAAAAGAATGAGGTGCAAGCTGTCATCCCTATTCATCGTTTCAAGCAAGGCAAGTTTCAAAGTTGTAGAAAAAACACAAAAGCAAAAGAAAGGTGCGGTGGAAAAGAGAAAAGCAAAAGCAAGGAATAAACACCCACACTGCAAAAGCAAGGAATAAACACCCTACCAGAATGATGTGATTTACTTTTCTTGTTTTTGAATGATGTGATTTATTTTTCTTATCTTTCGGAGACATCTGTATAAACCCCATTAGAGGGTAACTAAAAAAAAATGGCAAGCCCAAAATAATGGGCTGGAGTGTTATGTGGAAGGCGAATGCCTATATGCCCAAAAGAGCCAGGCCCTCTATTATCACCAACCAGGTAATCAAAAGTACGTCCAGTACTACAAAAAATTATTCGGCAGCTTGTCGCTATTATCACCAACCAGGTGATCAAAAGTACACCCAGTACTCCAAATTATTTGGCAACCTGCCGCTATTATCACCAACCGGTGATCAAAAGTACGCCCAATACTCCAAAATTATTTGGCAACCTGCCACTATTATCACCTACTAGGTGATCAAAAGTACGCCCAGTACTCTAAAATTATACATGAGCATCACTCATGTCATTCATACATAAACATTCATGAGCATCACTCATGACAATCATACATAAACATTCATGACCATCATTCATGTCAACATTCATGAGCATCACTCATGTCAACATTCATGAGCATCACTCATGTCAACATCCATGAGCATCACTCATGTCAATCAACATAAACATTCATGAGCATCACTCATGTCACTCTAGATTCAAAAGCTTCACTTGCTAAGCTTCACCTACAAAGCTTCAGTGCAAGATATACAAATACCGCCTCCGAACAACCGCCATTTCGGCCCATACATGGATTCGATTTGAAGTCTCCAGCCAACATACTTTATTGACCGAAGACTTAGGGGACTACATTATGTACCATATATTGGGCCTCAACTGGGCCTCATGAAAATTACTTGGGGGACTCAGCCCATTATTTATGTATTGAGGAGCGATCCCTTATTTTATAAAAGGGACTCCCTCACTTTCATTAGAGAACACCCATTATTCATGTACTGAGGAGCGAGTCCTTATTTTATAAAAGGAACTCCCTCACCTTCATTAGAGAACATCGCCGCCAGCTGAGCAACCGCCTCGCCGCAAACATCACTCCTAACCCATCATTTATGTATTGAAGAGCAAACCCTTATTCTATAAAAATGACTCCCTCACCATCATTAGAGAGCATCGCCGCCTACTGAGCAACTGCCTCACTGCGAGCATCAACTCTAGCCTATCATTTATGTATTGAGGAGCGAACCCTTATTCTATAAAAATGACCCCCTCACCTTCAAACGCCACAAGCCGAGCCAACCAAGGCAACATAAGCCATAAGCAGAGCAGCCTCGCAACATTTGCTACTTCTGGTTGAGCATCATTTCAAATTGGGCACCGCCTCATATCGAGTATCAGTTCAACACGACATCTAGTTACTTCGGCCAACACATGGACTGAATTTCAAGTCTTCAACCAAAAGACTCTCTTGACTGAAGACTTGGGGGACTACTGTTTGTACCATACTTAGGGTCTCTGTATTTAGATCTCGTATAAATACTCGGATGACTCAAATGTAATTATGTAATAAAGGTAGGGGCAAATATGTAATAAGTGAGAAGCCCTTATTCTATAAAAGGACCCCTCACTCTCCTTATTAGGGGAGGCCAATTCTTAGGCCATACCCTCACCCTCTCGGAGCTTTCATCCTCACAGAGAAGCTTTCTCTCTCCCTCTTCAACATGTCAGAGAAATACAATAATCAGTGTGGACGTAGCCTAAACATTGGGATGAACCACGATACATCTTGTATTATTTACTTTCTTGCAGATTCACGATCAGATTTACGTTGTTCCAAGACTTCCGGTTTTGTGCATCAACAGAGGCAATCTATCTCTAACAAAGATCAATTAAACGATATAGAGATATACAAAAGGATTTGCACATAATTTTTATAGATTTGGAAAAAGTGTATGATAGGGTCCCAAGAGAAATTCTTTGTAGGATTCTAGAGAAAAAAGAAGTACAAGTAGTGTATATCCAAGCAATAAAGAATATGTATGATAAAGCAAGGCTACAGTAACTTATGAAAGACAAACTGAAAGCTTTCTCATAACTATAAGGGTATACTAAGGCTCAGCTTCAAGTCCTTACCATTTCGCATTAGTAATGGACAAGTTAATGAGACATACTTAAGATGATATCCCTTAGTGTATGCTCTTTGCAAATGATATAGTGCTGATAGATGAGACACAGGAGGGAGTAAATCTGAAGCTTAACCTTTGGCAGGAAGTGTTGGAATATAAAGGTCTTCGCCTAAGTAGACAAAGACATATTATATAGTGTGCAAGTTCAGTGAGAATGGGATCAAAATGAGATATGGGTGAGGATTGGAGATTAGGAAATACAAAGAGTGAACACTTTCGGTATCTTGAATCTATCTTGCAAAAGAATGAAAAATTAGATGGAGGTCTCAACCATAAAATACAAACTGGGTGGATGAAGTGGAAAAGTGCATCGGGTGTTGTGCGACTATCGTATGCAACTAAAGCTCAAGGAAAAATTTTAAAGGACGGCAATAAGGTCAACAATGCTTTATGACATAGAATGTTGGGTGGTCAAAAAGCAACACATGCAAAAAATGAGTGTAACGGAGATGAGAATGCTTCGTTTGATGTGTGGGCACACGAGAAAAAACAAGATTAAGAACGATGATATCCGAAGTAAAGTAGGAGTGACCACAATTGAAGATAAGATGAAAGAAAATCGGTTAAGGTGGTTTATACATGTGAGCCGAAGGCCTATGAGACGTACGGTCAAGGCAAAAAGAGTAGAGGAAGACCTAGGAAGACTTTGAAAGAAACTTTAAGAAAATACATTAAGTATTTAGATCTAACGGAAGACTTGACGCAAAACGGAGCGCTGTGACGTTTTATGATTTATACAATCAACTCCGTTTAGTGAAATAAGGTTTGGTTTTTGTTGTTGTAAGCATGTATAAATAAATAATAGAAGTTCCTAAGCCCCTCGGGTTCGCCTAAGTGGTGAGGTCAAGGATTTGATTCCCTTTCATTGTACCAATGCCATCTAAAAAGAAATTCAAGCAATACGTAACATCAATTCAAAATTGTTTGCAATGTCCTGTCACTTTTAATCCAACTCGATCTATTTTTTTAGATCCAAAAATTTGTCAAGAAGGTGACCGTTCGAAGGGTGTTATGATGTTTGAATATCAATAGAACTTTTTTTTTTTTTGAGGATCAAGTGCGAAAGAAATCCAACTTTTTGGACCGAAGGAACATTGCGACAACTTTTAAATTGAGATTTGAGAGGGCACATTTCTTCCAATTGTTTTTCAGGTAGCATTTGTAACAAGGCATACAGTTCAGATGCCATTTTGAAACAAAAATGAAAACTAAATAGGTTTTAATATTAGAAATTGTTATTGACACTCCAAAAATCTCATTTTGCATTCCAAACTATCTATAATTAGAAAGAAAATTATACTTGTGAGGAGTGTAGTATGAGATTTTTGGAGTTATTATGAAATAATCATGTCATCAAATAACAAAGTAATTAAGACTTCAATGTTATCACTTCTCACATACAACCATACGTATGCATGTAAATACAAATAAACTACAAAACCATCTAAGTTTAGTTATTAAAATCCAAAGTTTGCAACACATAAAAAAAATCGTAAAGAAATACAAATAAAAGATGAAATGTGTAGAAAAAGAATAAATAAGAAAGTTACGGGGCAATCCAATTTGAAGCAATTTATAAGATACGAAAACTGTGGTCCATTTTTATGTGTTTTAGATGCATCTTTTGTTCCATTGAGTTTTGCATAACCTTCGTTCTTACTATTCATTGTATCAAGAGATTTTTTATGGTGTCGTGCATACAACTAGGTATACCAAACATAATAATATAATTAGTGCACACAGAAAAAAAAAATTTCATTGTACCAACAAAAATAAAAGCGAGAACCACAAACTATTGACTCTGTTCTGAGACCGTTCGAGTTTTTGAGCACCAAAATCAAACCGAAACGCCCACAACGGTTCGGAACTGCCAGGTTAGGCGGTTCGGACGGTTCGATGACAACTCGACTTATCACTAGGGAAATCGACAAAATAGACATATTGGGATTGTTGGCTCGTGTATACTTGCATTGCTTAATAATAATATTATAATAGACAGTGCATGATATAAGGGTACGTATAGTGATTGTGAGGGTTTTGCCATACCATGAAAGCGAAGCCAGTAACGGTGGCCCATGAATTGGCAAGATTTGCAGCAGCAAGCTCCAGCTCCCCAAGGTGACCGGCAAACATGACGGACACCACCGGGATCAGGTAATAGCAAACGTTAGTAAGAATCAATGGCAGCGAAAGCACGACCTGCTTCTTGGCCTCCTCCCTGTCCAGCAATTCATTCCACCACCCTCCTTTGTTCCGTTCTTGAATTGTAACAGAAGCAATCGGAACAGGGTTCGGAGAGATTTCGATTCCTATCGAAGCTGCGGGAGGGGAGGACTGCGGAGTCGCGGCAGTGATAGAGTCAGTCATGATGAAAAATGTGTTGATCGGTGAGGAAGTGGAGGGGCTTGGGAGGTTCGGAGTCCAACAACAGGGAGGAAAAAATGTGTTTGGAATGTAAGAAACTACGAGAAAGTGTACAGGAAAATTCAGGGTTTAAGGCACCGCAGAGATGCTCTGGAGGCGATGAGTCTCTGCAGCCGCGGCGGTGGCAACTGACAAACCCTGGTGTAGGGTTTATTTGTTTGTTTGTAATGAGTCGGGAAAATTTTATTTGAACCCAACTTTTTTATATTTACGCCTTGTTGATGCACAAAATCCGGAGGATCTTGAACCAACGTAAATCCGGCCGCGAATCACACAAACGCACAAGAACACAAAGATGTATCGTGGTTCACCCCAATATTTGGGCTACGTCCACACTGATGTTGATTCCATTTACTGTATGAATGTATGGATTACAATAGATCGGCAAGGGAGCTCTATGTGGATGCAGCCCTTAACATTTTGCTCTCTATTTGGCTGAGAGGGTATTGCCCTCTGTCTGGATGTGTGAGGATCTGAGACCCTTTGTTTTCCTATGGATGTGAGGCTCCCCCTAATGAGGGTGAGGGAGAGTCCCTTTTATAGAATAAGGGCTCCCTCCCCTTTTACATAAATCATGGGTTTAGGGATGAGGCCCAAAGACGAGGCCTTATATATATGGTACCAACAGGAGTCCCCCAAGTCATCAGTCAAGAGAGTTTTTTTGCTGGGGTTTTCAAATCCAATCCATGTACGGGCGGAATGGCTAGATATCTTGAACCAATACTCAACACAAGGCAATGCTCAACATAAAGCAATACTAAGCTAGAGGTATCACACGTTACGAGACTGCTCGTTGCGAGGTTGCTCGGCTAGAGGCTATGCTCGCAGCGAAGCGATTGCTCGGCTGGAGGCGATACTCGTTGCGAGGCTGCTCGGCTAGAGGCTATGCTCGCTACGAGGTGGCTCGGCTTGTGGTATTCCTCATTGCAAGTATCTACTTTATGTCGACATGCACTCAATATGAGTTGATTCTCGACATGACTCGAGTCCGCTTGTCGGGTTAAACAAGAGATCATTGTTCGGACTAAATATTTGTCACCATAAGCATGTGGCTCAGTGATCCATAGGTTGATCAATAGTGTCGGTAGGCTTCTTTAATCAGCAACAATGTCGATCAGTGGATCTAGTTGCTTAATAATTCCTGACAATAAACGACAGTATAAGTATGACCGTATAATGAATAAATCAAATTGACAAAGTTTGTCAAGGCAAAATACTGTACCATGTGCCTCCTATAAATAAATAATTTATTTAGTCGTGTGGTAAATCACATGTTGTATAAGTGACATAGTTTAATGGCAGTCACAATACTCTAGGCCAATAAATATTGTATAATAAAGTTTTTACCCTACCACTTTAAATAATGAAGTCAGGGATGATTAAAGATGCAATAATAAAATATTAATTAATAAAATAATTGTAAGGAAGATTGCAGACAAGCGTTTGTAAAGCATATGCACATTGTAAAGCAAATCAAACCGGGAACACACTATATAGGTGTGATAGAAATGACGTGGCCTCATTATGCATACTGTAAAGTAACTGCTGTCACTTTCCAATAATGATGTGATGATGTGGTTTCCAGTAATAGGACCACCACAAAATAATAATGAAATGTTAAATAGTAAAATAATTAATGAATTTGGAGAACACTTATCTCCTTCATTGCTTTTCCCGTGACTTTTTCAGAAAATGGGCAAGGAACATGCACTCCCTTTCATGATGAAAGTTTCATTATTGGTGGGCATCTTCTTTGGTGGTCGACAAAAGCCATCGGTCCTGATAATAAAGATAATAAAGTTCTTTATCTTCTTCCAGTGGTCGACACCCTCATTCTAGGGCTAGCCTCCAGTGATCAGAAACAGTCCCTTGGTCATGACGACATCATCGTCTTCCTCTTCTTCTCCAATCCCCCAGAACCAAAAAGCTGATAGACCCATCGGCTTTCGCTGCGTGCGGGAATCGTTGTAGCTCCGCTCATGCTTCGGTATGTAAATAGTGATTGGATACCCACATAACTTTGACAGCACCAGCAGCTCGGACTCTCCTCCCCAAAAATTTGGTATATTGATGCACTAGCAGTAACGTTTTAAGGACTCATCGATGGTGATTGCAACCAAAGCAGGTTCATACTTAAGGCGCTCTTCCTCATCTTCGCATATAACCTCTTTCACGGTCATCCGTAGTTCGTCTGCATCATCCTTCTCTTACCTTGGGCTAAGAGGAACCTCTTTATTCAAAACCATTCCTTTCACCAGAGCACGAAATAAACAACATCCGTCGTTAGTAACTTTCTGAACCGAAAAACGTTCAACTTTCTTCATCGTCGACGATCTTCTGCCTAGTGGCGGTTTAATTCTAGCGAAGAACCGGTGGCCGTGGTCCCCGAACAACGTTGTTGGGTTCACCAGAGAATTGGAAGCTGAAATTGAAAAGACGGGGGAGGCGGTGAGCTCGAATCAAGCAGTTCCGTTCCTTAGCTGCTCGAGGATTGACTCTGCCATGGCGTAAGCTGCTCGGGAACGACGACCGTGGATGGACGTGAAGGCTGAGACCAAATTTTATGAGAGAGAGAGAGATAGAGAAGTGATGGTGTTGTAATTGCGCCGGCAGGAGGCAGACAGACATATTGCAGAACTTGGACTTTACTGGAGAAACAGGGGGAACGAGGGCAGTTTGGGAAGAGGAAACATTTGGGCCTATTTGGATGCAGGAATTGGGAATTGGGCTTGAAAAAGGCCTGGGTGAGGTCGAGGTTACCAGCTCGCAGGGAGAGATATTTTCTCTGCCCACCCACTTCTTTCCTACCGCCACCCTTGGTCTCTGACACGACAGGGTCTTCCTAACTCGGTCATTGACTCGTTCAAGGTGCATTCGCATTCAAAGCTTGTTGTTTTCTGGATTTCTAGAGAGAGAGTTGGGCATCTCTTGGTTTTGCAGATCCACGGTGGACAGTGGTAAGGTTTAACGGTGGTGAGATGAAAAATTGAGAGAGAACCGACATAGCGTTTCGTGTCGTTTTCCACGGACAGCGCCAAATGTTGAAGCACAAAATCAGTGGGGACTTTGGTACAACAAAAAGTGTCAAGTTTGTGACCTTCACTAGATTGCTCTGGTCACTAATGTGGATAAGTATGTAAATGGATAGAGACAGGGAAGCAAACACAAGATGCACGTGGTTCACCTAGATTGGCTACGTCCACGGAGTAAAGGAGTTCTCATTAATTGTGAAGGGTTTACACAAGTACATATGTTCAAGCTCTCCTTTAGTGAGTACTAGTGAATGATTTAGTACAAATGACATTTGGAAATATTGTGGGAGAATGATCTCTTTTTATAGAAGAGAGTTTCTAGCTTTGTTTTGATATTGACATGTGTCGTGTTGTGATTGGCTTCTGATGTTGACACGTGTCGCGCTATGATTGGCTTCTGATGTCGACACGTGTTGCGCTGTGATTGACCTCCTAGTTAGAGGGAAACTCTTCTGGGTCCTTGACGGTATAATGTTGACCGGTGCTCAATAGATTCGGGATTGGTCAAGTATGGTACAAACATGCCTAACTAACAAATTTTTTCCACTAAACTTTACACCAATAACCCTAAACTCAGCCACTGCACCTCCATTTTTTCCGGTGAACCCAATCCAAGTACCACGACCATTGACTCTTTCTTGTGATCTAACTAATCAGAAAATAAAAAGGAGCCGGGTGGAGATGATCTCTTTCCTTGGCTTTCCCACTTTTCATGAGAATAATAGTATTAAGGGTAAATTACATAGTAACCCCTTAAGTTTGAAGTCTATTACAATCGCATACAACAACTTCAAAACATTTCACTTTCATACCTCAACTACTATTTTATTTCAATATAGTACATCCGTTACATTTTCCATCCATTAATCCGTTAAATGTTGATGTGGCTGCCACATATATGTCACTTGACTGCCAAATGCCTGCCATGTGGCAAATAAAATAATTTTTTAATTTAAAAAAAAAACCTGAATTCTCTAAAAAAAAAATAAAGAAACCCATATCCCTCATCCCTCACCCACCCCCCAACGACCTCCTCAGAAACCTAAAACAAAAATTGAAACAGAAGAAGAAGAGAAGAGAGAAGAAGAAAAAGAAAAGGCCAGAATCCTTCCCTCCCCCCCGCCCCGCCGTGACCCACGACCCACCTCCCTTCCTCATCCGGGCTACCTTCCGGCAACCACACCCCCCCCCCCCCCGCGCCGCCAGATCCCTTCCTCCCTAGAAGAAGAATAAGAAAAGCCCAGAACCTTTCCCTCCCCCCGGCCCCGCCACGACCTGCGACCCACCTCCCTTCCTCCCCCGAGCTACCTTCCGGCGACCACAACCCCCCCCCCCGCGCGCGCCAGATCCTTTCTTCCCCCCAGCTACCTTCTGGCGACCACCCCCCCCCCCCGACTCCAAGATCTCGTGATTTTCAATGTGGGTGAGTTTTGAAAATACTTTGAGTTTGAGATGATTTTTGGACTGGTTTTGTAGTAGATCCACCTAATCTCGGGTGCAATTTTTGGGGGTGGGGGATTTTTGGGAAAAATGATGGGCAATGGGAGAAAAGGGTGGCTCGGGTGGGACGGACTGGGGCTTTTTTTTTCTTTTTTTTCTCCCATTTTCTTCTTCTTGTTGTTGCAGGTTTCTGGGGAGGTTGCTAGGGGGTAAGGGATATGGGTATCCCCTTTTTTTTCCCTTTTTCTTCTTCAGCTTTTTTTTTTCTTTTTTTTCTCCCCTCTTCTTCTTCTTCTTGTTGCAGGTTTCTGGGGAGGTTGCTGGGGGGGGGGTGAGAGATATGGGTATCCTTTTTTTTTTTCCTTCTTCTTCTTCACTGGGGGGTGGGTAAGGGATGAGGGATATGGGTTTCAATTTTTTTTTTTGAGAAGATTCTGGTTTTTTTTTGAGAAGATTCTGGTTTTTTTTTTT